AGTGCCCGGTGCAGCCAGCCAGGCCCTGCCAGCTCACTCTCTTCCCCGGGGGCAGCTACCACTTCCAGAACACATCCAGGGCAGACAGAGCCCAGCCTGGCTCCCACGGCTTCCTGCTCCTCTCATCGGGGCAGGGGACAGCCACCAAGGCCAGGCACAGAAACCCTGGGAGTGTCTGGTAAGGGGGACACAGGGGCCAGGAAGGACTTGGAGCAAGTAGGGAAGGGCCTTAGGAAGCCCATACAGGATGAGGGGTGTGGGCTAGGCAGGGACACCCACTGCAGGGTGGCCCCACACAGGCTCATGTCAGCACTGGCCCCAGGTCTCCAAGGAGTGGGCGACCTACCTTGTAGCTAGGGCCAGGGCCCTGGAGCCACAGACTGCCCTGTCCTCAGCAGGCTCAGCCTAAGGCAGCGCCAGTGGGCCCTGCTGCCCCTGCCCCTCCCTTGGACCCTGGGACAGTACCACTCTCGAAAACACCAGGTACCCCTTCTCCGGGATCCACACCTCCACCCCAGGAGAGCCGGAGACAGGGACCAGGACGGGCCCCTCGGAATACAGCTGCAGAGCCTAATGGGCTGGGCCAAGTCGGGGCCTCCTTGCCTAGGTGACCTGCGTAAGCAGCCAGCCTCCAGCCCTCCCACCCCCAGTATGGAGTCCTAGCACCTCTGCCCTAACAGATCCCAGGCCAAGGGCCTGCTGCCTGGGTGCCCAGGGAGGGGTCGGGACCTAGCTGTGACCCTTGGAAGGACCAGGGGACAGGAGGACCATCAGGTAGCCTGAGGGCCCAGGCCAGCTCCCAGGACCCTGCCACTGCCCAGGGACATGGAGCTGGCCCAAAGTGACCCTGGCCCTTGGCAGCTCAGGACCCTGAGGACCCCAGCCACCCCCACAAGGGTATTTAGCCCCACAGCACCCTGGGCAGAGACAGAGGTGTGGGACGGGAGCAGGTAGCACCCAGAGGATGCCCGCCAGCACTTGCCGTCCCTCCCAGGGAGGGAGCAACACAGGTCCTGGGGCAGCTGTGCATGTGACCCGACAGGCTGAGGTCCGGGGAGGGCGTCTCCAGAGGCTGCACCTATGGGCCGGCGCCTGGGCTTGGATCTAAGGCCCCTGCCCCCAGCCAGACCCGGTGCTCCTGGGGAGGTGGGGCTGGGGGACAGAAGCCTACCCTTAGCACTAACCAGCCAGCCCTGGCCCTGACCGCCCTTAGCACTAACCAAACCCTACCCCTAAAGCTAACCCTCTCCCCAAACACCTAACCCTAACTTTACCCCTGTACCTGCCAGTGTGGTGGCAACGCCTCTAATCCTAGCACTCAGGAGGCGGGGTTTGATGCAAGTTCGAGGGCAGCCTAGATTACATAGTGAGACCCTGTCATACACACACACACAAAATACCCTAAACCAGGGCCAGGGATTTAGCTCAGTGGTTCCGCTGCCTGCCTCACAAGCGCAAGGACCCGAGTTCGATCCCCAGTACAAAAAAAAAAAGCCTAACCCTAAGCCCACCCTTAATCCTAACCCTAACCCTAATTCTGTGGCCTGGATGGCCAGGCTAGGACCGAGTACAGTGGCCTTGCAGAGAGGGGGCCGGCTGCAAAGCTTCCCTAACACCAGGGTTGCCCCCTTCTAGCATAAATGGGAGGCAGCTCTGCATAACCGGCAGGGACCTTGGGAGGGTGCAGCCTGGGTGGAACACTCGCCCACTCTTGGAGCTCAGTCTCTGGGGCGGCCTGGAATTGCACTCGACACCGAGTGCGAACACCTAAGTGGGGAGGAGGGACTTGCTGCGTTGCACAGGCAAACCTGCCTGTGCCTTATCCTCCCTGGGACCCAAACACTGCCTCCTCACGCTGGAATCGGGGTGGCCCTGGGCTGGCTGGGACACAAGTGGATTGCTGGGTACCCTGTGTTATGGACCCCCAACTCCATCCAGCTCAGAGCCCCAGGCTGGGATTTTAGGGGCCGTACCTGGGGTGCTGCTGGCCTGGTCACCGCCCAGGACAGTGACCACACTCCCAGCTGTCAGCACTGTGCTGGGACCAGGATCTCGGGCAGGGACCGTGGTGAGGCCCGCTGTGGTGCCCTTTGCACCCTGGCTGCGGACCCTCTCCTCACCCCCAGGAGAAACAGGGTTTGTGCTCTCTGCTGGGCCCTCCCTGGGGCGCCCTGGGCAACCAGCCAGGCTGAGCTGGGGTGACACTAGGCTCTGCATAGCCTCTGCACAACATGATGGGGGTAGCACCTAAGCTGCCAGACCCTTGGCTGTCAGCTCGGGCCCATGGTTGCAGGAAAGCCAGGCCGTGTCCTGTCCAGGTGTGGCACCAGGAAGCCACTGTCCTAGGGGATTTGGCAGTGCCACGACCAGCTAGAGGCCCAGGGCCAGGGCAGCAGAGCCTGGCAGCGCCAGCCAGGCTGGGTCACTGGTCCCAGTGAGGCCCCAGCACTGGGTCACCTCACTTGGCTCAGGCACGGGGCACAGAGCAGCCAGAGGGAGCTGCTGGCTTGGGTGGAACTCAGGGTGCCAGGATCCGCCTTGGGCCTCGGTCCCTCTGCCCTCTCCCCAGTTTGCAGCTGTATACATGCATGCAGGCTCGCGCACAGTGCACATGCAGACGTGCTAGGGCACATGCATGAGCGTGCGCAGAGAGCACACACACACATACACACACACACACACACACGGGCCTCCCCAGGCTGGAAGACCCTTGCCCCAGCCCTGCATGAAGTGCCCAGCATGGGTGCCCCATCCCCTGTTCCTAGACCCCTCCTTCCCTTCTGGTCCTTGGGAGTAAGAGGCCCCAGGAGGGGAAGAGCCGGGGTTGGCTGGGAGGAATGAGGGCAGACAGGATGGCCGGCCAGCTGAGCGGGGCAACGTGAAGGTGAAGGGCAGCGGCGGGCCTGGAGGAGCCAGCGCAAACCCCACGGAGAACTGCAGACCTGCACAGCCCTCCCGGGCCGGGGCCGAGCACTTGCTCCCCGCCATGTCCACGAGGGGCCCTGGGTGGCGCTGGAGGGCGGATGTCCACTCAGCCCCAGGGAGGAGGCTCCGGGACGGGTCCTGTGCATCTCCCTTGGTGCCGTCCTCTGCTGGGCCTTCCTGGGGTCCCCGCCCTGAGCCCCTCCTTCCCTGGGGTCCTGAACCAGTCTCTTGGTGGAAGTGATACGGACTCAGCTTCCTGCCAGCAAGGCCGCCAGACCCAGCCTCAGGGCAGGGAGCTCCCTCCTGGCCAGTGGACACCTGGCCCCGCGAGGATGCCACGCGACCAGCCAGGCCGGCTGGCTCCCGCGCCTGTCCGCTCCTGCAGTGGGCCACCTGCTCCAGGGCTGGGCGCCTGTGCCGAGGCCTCCGCCCACCTGGCGCAGGCCGGGTCACAGATGGCCGTGTGCGTCACTGAGCCCGTGGGGTGGCGGGCAGGCAGACATCCAGTCCCCGAATGTCCTGTCCTCAACCCTCAGGGCTGCCTGGCACAGCAGCTTCTGGCCACAGTGGGTGGCGTCTGTGGGGAGCCAGGGCCCCTGGTTTCACATCCTCACAGGGCAGCACTTGTGGGTCACACCTCCTCCCCAGGGTGCAGGCTGCCGGCCGGCCGGGCTTCCTCACCAGGCCCTCTTCCTGCAGGGCATGGTCCTGAGTGAAGTGCAGGACACTGAAGCGGCCCATGGGGGTGCAGGGGGGCCCTGCCTCGTCCTGGCCAGAGGGGCCGGTGGCCCTGGGACAGGTGGGGTGAGGGTCGCAGCAGGTGCTGGCCAGGCCTGGGGAGTGAGCAGCCCTCCTCCCCCAGGCGGCACCCAGCTGGAGCTCCTGCTCCAGGCAGCTCTGGGCAGCAGGGAGGTTGGTGACCCCAGCTGGGCTGGCCATGGGCACAAGGACACAAGCGGTCACTGCAGCACCCGCCCAGGGTCTGGGCCGGGAAAGGGCATGCCGGCCAGCTGTCACAGTAACTGGGCAGTGGCTTCCGCTTTCCAGAGGGCACCTGGCGCCCACCCACCAGATGAGCACCGCGCTGTGGCCGTGCTCAGCCCCTCGACTGGGGTGGAAGTGGGCGCAGGGGTGAGAACACGTGGCACCCCAAGGCAGACAGAGACAGGACCCTGCCTCTGCCCTGGGCTCAGCTTTGCCCCAGGTCCTGGGGACTTGGGAAGTCACCAGCCTGCAAGCAGGGTGCAGAGCACCTTGGGGACCCATGAGGCCCTGGCTGTGGACAGAAGGGACCGTTTCATCCCTGTCCTGCCCTCCCTCCGTCATGAAGGATGGGGTGGCTCCACCCACACCCTCTGGGCCACTCTGGCCAAGAGGCTCCGATGTGCACCCGGGTCAGGCTTTGGCTGCGCTCTGCCTTCAGGTGAAGGCCAGGGCGCCTGGGACAGCGGCCTGGAGCCCAGCAGCCATGGCCTCAGACCCCCATGTGCCCAGTCCCAAGGCCCCCGGTGGGCAGGATGCCCACACTGTCCTTCCTGGGCCTGGCCTGGGCCTGGGCCTGGGCGGGGGCAGCGGCAGGGTGGGAGCACAGGGTCCTGCTGGAAGGTATTGACCCACTTCTTCATTGTGACCAGGTGACCTCTCGCCGGGGGCCAGGCCGGGCCAGGGTGGCCAGAGTCGGGTGGCCAAAGGTGGTGCCAAAAGGGGCGTCCGCAGGGAGGGAACCCAGCTGTGAACCGCCCGCCCCCTGCAGTCACCAACAGCCCAGTCTGGCGTGGCACAGCCCAAGGAGCCCTGGAGCTGGCAGGGGCCACTTTCTCCTCCCCAGTGACATGGCCGGCCCTTCCGGGATGGGGCCCCCCGGGACAGCAGTGCCCTTGCTGGCCCCAGGCCCCAGGGTGGCTGTGCACAGCCCCCCCCGCCCCCCCCAGGACCTGCGCCAGGGTCTGTGGGGGGCACAAGCATAGCCGCCGCGCACGCGCGCGCTTGCCAATCCTTTATTGTATGTCATGTTCCAAGGGGGCGGGAGGACTGACAGGTACACAGCGAAGTAGATAAATATGCCAAGCTTTTTCTTCCTTTTTAAAATCAGGCATTTATAAACAAGAAAGCATACATTAATTACATAAAAATAGCTCTCGAGTAGCAGAGTAAGCCATCGTATTGTCATTAGCAGCAGCAGAGGAGACGGGACGGGCAGGGGCCCTGGAGCGCGTCAAGGTTGGACATGGCGTTTTTCCCTTAATTGAAAAAATGTCACTTGAGACTCCTGACTTAGAGCAAGAAGAGCTGCCCCTCGCTAGGCCCAGGGTGTGGCGGGCGGTCGGGCGGGCGCAGAGGGTGAGGCCGGGAGGGGATGCCACACGACCCCGACCCTGGCCTGGCCACTCCGTCCCACTGGCAGACGAGCATTTTTTCTTCCTCAGTTAAAAACCACCCAGAAAACAAGACAACTACCAAGTAAGAAAAGTTTCTGAACAAGGAGCCACCATATACACGTATAATACAATGGTGTAAAATGAAAAAAAGTATTTACATTGACGTTGTTTTTACACTGGCTAGTTCTGTACGGAAAGCGGGAGTCGGGTACGAGTTAGCTGCTCCACAGATATGAATGTTATTGCTGTGTTTTTCCCTTCATTACAATCTTCTTTCAGTATAGAAATAACGAGTCCTTAGGCTGAATGCACAACCACTGCGATAATGGAGTTCACACACAGGGGAGGCAGCCCCTTCTCCCTCCACTTGCAAAGAAATGGAACCCCGAGCCTGCCTCACTGGCAGAGCCAGGCTCGGGTGGCTCTGGGGATGCCCGTGGTCCACAGTGACCTACAACGGGGTGGCCGGGACGGCCCAGCGCCCTGCCAACCTCCCCTGGGGCTGGGACCAGCGGACGAGGTGGGAGCCGCAGAGCTGCCCGGCTGCTGGAAGGGGGCGCCTGCCCCGGTGCCACCACCCCATAGGTGCAGCCCAGGGGTGACAAACTCACAGGACAGCCACAATGCTTCCCACGGTCAGGCACAGCACCAGGTGAGGTCACCCAGGTGCCACAGTGGCCGGGGCAGGGCAAGGGGCAGCCCCGCCCAACAGCTGAGCAAAGCACGTCCCCCTGGAGCTAAACTTCCACCGGGGCCCGGCTCACCACCTGCAGGCCTGGCGACAAGGACATCACACAGAAGCACGCCAACACACTTAAAGCTTTGCTCAAACTAAATCGTTTAGTTTCCCTTGAAGAAATGACTGAAAACACACAATGACTGGAAAAACAAGGCTGAAAAGAGCACTCTGCGTGTTGCGTAACAAAACTGACCCTTTACAAGACACGGTAATAATGCCCATGGGTGGGTCTGCGGTGGCAGAGGTGTGAAATCCCATGCATACAGCTTTCATAACTGCAAAAGAAAGAGAAAGAAAACTCCAAATAAATGCTGCATATACACGATGTCCCTTTTGCATTGCACTTCAGGAAGGGGGGGTCCCGGCAGCAACCGAGCCCCCCTCAGTAAACCAAGGGCAAAACCCTGCAGACGGTTCTGTCACCGCAACAAAAGTCAGGGTTCAGCAGTCTCTGGGCTCTGCTAGGTGCTGCCGGCGGCTGACAATTTCGAGGTCACTTGTACCTGCACAAGCCATCTCCACCTCCCTCGGCACATGGCTGCCACGGGATCGGAGCGGACTTGGGCAAAGAGCTCCTGTGCGTGCTTACGTGAAGTAACACCACGATTTCAGGACGGGCGGCCGCCTCTTGTCTACTGGGAAATAATTTTTCAAGCTTGGGCATAAGAAACCGTATATAATTTGCATAAACAGGTGAGTAAACGAGATTATTTGGAATAAATGCAAGTAACTTCTTTTGACAGTGGCAGATTCAATCGCTACTGAAGACGGTATCGGGGGTAAAAAGATGTGAGTCAGGGTTTGCTGTACAAGATGCTGGAAGGCACAGACGAGCCCCAAGTTCGGTTTCTGCGTTGCATTTCCTTGTGATTCCCTTGTTCAACCAAGCACCAGAGGGGATTCTAAGCACTCGAGCACATAGGGTTTGAACTGCTCTAGAAATCTGTAAAAACCTCAGTTAAGGGGGAGTTTTAAAAAGAGAAGGGGAGATTTTTGACAAAGTGCAGTTCTAAATATATGCTTAAATGAACAAACAAACAAGTAATAGTAATGCTGTGTTTTGTTCCAATGCTGCAGCCTCGGTCAGGAACGAGGGGAAGCGGTCTGCAGATGGAGCGGGCGGTGTGTTCGGGGCTGGCCGAGGCTGCGCCTGGCGGCCCCGCGCCCCTGCAGGGCAGCACCCCGCTCACGGTGGAGGCGCCGGGCCGGGCCCACGGGGCGGCAGCGCGGACGGGCGGCGGTAAGGCGGGCAGTGTTGGGCTCATCTCGCACGCGGCATGCTTCCTGCTCTTCCTGGCAGCAGCAGGAAGACCCAGGTCCTTGTCGCTGAAAAAATAGACTCTGAAAAAAACCCCTGCTGTCCTCTTGCAGCCGCGGGCACAGATGAGCGTGATGGCTTGGGGGCGGCGCCGCCCCACCCCGCGGTCTCCAGAGGGCGGTGCACCTCGGGGTCTTTGAGTTCATCATAAAAAATGTGTCGGTTTTCTGAACAGCAAGTCTCCGTGTTGGTTTTAAATAGCTTATAACAAAAGTGTAAATGTTAGGACGTTCCAGCAAGCAGAGGCCCGATGCAGGCCGCCAGGCTGGCCTGGACTCTGCCGCAGCCCGAGGTGCGGCTTGCTCACTTGAACTTGGCCAGTAGAAAATTCTGCAGTGGATTCCAAAAGTGTGTGGTCACGAACACTCGCTTGGTAGTAGGCACAGGAGAGACGTTGTGCTGTGAGGCCGCAGAGGCGCAGGCCGGGCCCGCAGAGCCCCGCACCCTGCCTGCCCGCTGCCCTCTGCGCCCGGCGTGGTGCTGCCCTGGCGGCGGCGGCTCAGGCTAGGGCTCCAACTCCGGGGCGCCCTCCCCGCTCCCTCCGCTCTCAGGGCGCGGCCGCGGCCACAGCTGCTCCTGCAGCTCCTTCACCACCTTCTCCAGGTGCTCGCGTGCCTCGCGTTCCCGCAGCAGGTCAGCCCGCAGCTGCTCACGGTCGGCCTCCGCGTGCTGCAGCTTCACCTGCAGGTCCTCGATCTGGAAGGACAGGTGCTGAGGGTCAGGTGCCCTGCTCAGCTGTCACCCCCGGGCCCCCCATCTCCAGGCAACCAGCGGAAGGCGGCCCCAGGAGAGCCCTGTGGGTGGCACCGGGACTGGCGTCCAGCCTGCCCCGCACAGGCCGGGACACGACCCAGAGAGCTCCAAGGCCTGCAAGGGTGTCCCCGCTGCTCCCGGCCCTGCGGCCTGGTTCGGCCACCTGCAGCCTGCACAGTGAGGGCCTGCAGGGCCAAGGACCTGGGCCTGGCACAGCTGCACCCAGCAGCTCAGGGAGCAGCTCCACCCGGGCCCGGCCCGGCCCCGCCCCCCGTCGGTACCTGGGCCGAGTACTTGGCGCGCAGCCGGCCGGCCTCGCAGCCTTTGTCGCACACCCGGACCTGCCGCGCCTGCTCCAGCTCCCGCTTCAGGCGCGCCCGAGACTCGTTGGCCTCCTTCATCTTCTTCTCGTTTTCGGCACGGAGGCGCTCGATCTCCTTCCGCAGGCTGCGCTTGGCCTCCGTGGCCTCCCGCAGCTTCTCCTTCTTGGCCACACGCAGAAACTCCAGCTCCTGGGGACAGCGGCAGGCGGTCACCGCAAGCCGCCCTGGGCCGTGTCTCCCCGGCTCTGTCCTGCCGCCGATCAGCAGCCTGGAACCCGTGGGGCCTGGGCACACCTTCCTCACGCAGCTGCCACATTCGCCCGGGCGGCCACTGCTCGCGGAGCAGCCCAGGGTTGTCCCCCAGCCGCCGTGACCCCACCCCACCCAGCCCACACCAAGCTGTGGACACCAGGCGGGAAATCGCAGCTCCACCCCGAGCCCGCGACCGTGGAGGGCACGTGAGGGAAGCCCAGCAGCACGCACCAGGGCTGTGTTGTGCTAACGCCCACAAGTGTGAGGCCGCCCCAGAGCTGCCAGACTGAGCTGAGGAGTGAATTCACCGCTGGGCAGGCAGCCCGGCTCCTCCTGGCCCAAACCCTGGGAGACACAGCTCCGGGATGCGCTAGGGAGCTGGAGCGCAGGCCTCAGGCTGCCACTCAGCGCCAACCTCTGCACACCAGAGAGGGACGTCAGCCCACTGTGAGGCCCAGCACAGTGCCGGTGCCCAGAGGACTTGCGCGGAGGCCTCACCTGGTGGAGGCTGCGTTTGGCCTGCAGCGCGGCGTTCAGCTTCTCCTCCTGCTTCACACGCATCTTGACCACTTCGTGCAGGAACTTCTCTTTGGCTTCCTTGGTGTCCAGCCCGCCCTCCAGGGCCTGCCGCAGGTGCTCCAGCTCTGCCTCCAGCCCACTGGGGGCGTCAGTGTGGGCTGCAGCATCCGGGGCAGCCACGGGAGGGGCATGCACACCTGGGGAGCTGAGATCCTTGGCGGAGCTGGACGAGGTGAAGGACGGCGAGGACAGCGAGGACAAGGAGGAAGCGACTGGGGACAGAGCACAGTGGTGAGCTGCAGGGGGAGAGGGCCACCGCAGAGCCCCAAGCTCCCCCGCCCACAGCGGGCAGAGAGAGAAGCCAGGTCACTCACGTTCCTCTCTGCTCTCCACTTCGACCTCAGCCTCCGAGTCCTTGTCCTCCTCCACGGCAGTAACCGGCAGCAGCGTCTCCAGGGCTCCAGGGGTGTCTGCAATCAGCTTCCGCTTCCGGGGCTGGATACAAGTGGGCAGAGGCTCGGGGCCCCGGGGGACCATGGTGGTGCATGGCGGGCTGCTCGTGGCCTTCTGCTGGGCTGGCGGGGCAAGGGCCACGTTGGGGGCCCCTGCCGTCTCGAAGCTCTTGTAGGAGTAGAAGCTGCAGGGGCGCAGGTGTCAGGCTGGGGTGCGCCTACCCCCGGGCCCCACCTGTAGCCCACCTGCCACGGACAATCCTGGCTGCCCTGCTCCCGGGCTGTGACATGAGGAGATGTGTTCTCCTCCAACCCAGACCCTTTACACCAGCTTCCTGTGGCTGAGAACCGTGGGGGTTTCCCGTGGCCACACGCCCAGGGCCCACGAGGAGGCCATGCTCATAGATGGGCTCTGTGAGTTCCACAGCTGCACTCAAGGTCTCAGGAAGCTCTAGACGGTCCACCCTGGTGCCAAGCACACAGTGCCACGCACACACCTTGCCGAGGTGTTGCAGGGCTGGGTGCCCTGATGCCGAAGCGCCACTCACCTGTCTCGGATCAGGGCTGGGAGGTGTGGGGAGATCTCTTTCTCGCTGGATGACACTGCAGGGGACCAGGGTCGGAAAGCAGAGAGGCGCTGGCGAGGGTGAATGCAGCCCAGGCTCTGTGGAAAAAGTCGCAGCAGGTCCCAGGGCCTGCCCAGCCCTGAGCAGAAGGCCCCGCACCCACTTCCCCTGGACCCAGGCAGGCCCCGTGCAGCACCTTGTTGGAGGAGCTGGCCAAGGTCCGCAGCCAGCTGGACTGCTTGTCCTTCTCAGAAGACGCGGGGGACTGGGAGGAGGCATCGTCTGTTTTGGGTCTTAAGGAGGCCGGGGGTTCAGAGGAGACCTGTGATCGACACAAAAGGCCCTGCTGGTACCTGTGGGCTGGGGCAAGGTCTCCCCGCCAGCCAGTCCCTGACTGAGGAGGCCCCGAGGTATGGCCCCGAGGATGCACAGCCCTGCCCTCCGTGCACTGGAGGCTCAAGCGGCCGGCAGCATGCAGCAAAGTGGGCCTGGTGCGGCCGGGAAGGGGCAGCACCCGCGAGGACACAGAGAACGCTGTTGTGCTGCCGAGGGCTGCTCCGAAGTGACCTCACCCGCAGCTGCAGTGGGCCTGGGGGGCTGGTGTGCCTGGCGCAGCAGCTCCACCTTCCCAAAACCCAGGGGGCGCGAGATGGCCCCAGACTAGCAGCCGGGGCCGAGCCACACGCACATGAGGCGTGCAGTCTGTACCTGTGCCGAGGGGACAGCAGAGCAGCCTTTCAGTGCCCACCCCCGGGGAGCTTTCTCTACACGGAAGGTACCTGGCGTGCCCAACAGGTCAGACTGCAGATGTCCCTGCCATCAGGAAGCTTGGAGAAGCGCTCCCTGCCCCTAACTTGCCCAGGCGCCAGGCCATCCCTGCAGAGCCGCAGCGACAGAGTGCAGTTTGGCCCCTGCACCCTGAGGTCCATCCTTCCCCACGGAAAGAACCAACCCCAACCCCAAAGCTCGAGCTCAGGTGGCCGTTTGCCGCAGGACCTCCCTGGAGCACAGGACAGGAGGTTGGCGCAGGGTGGCAGGAGGGTGGCCCCAGGGCACCCATGGGCCTCTCTCCTCCAGCCAGGGAGCCTCAGGGGCAGAGTAAACAGGGTGGAGGCTCCCCAGAAAGCAAGACCACAGAACTGGCCCCACGATGGGCAGGGCCTCTGCTTCCCAGGGTGGGGGTGGCAAGGGCGGCACACTTCCAGAATGAAACTCGGCAGAGGCCAGCCCAGCGCCAACAGGCTGAGTGTGCAGGTGTGCACGCTGGGACCTCTGCCCGGGTCCACGGGGCTGAGGTGAGGCGCAGGACACCCCCTCTACACTGGCACACGGGCCTGGGTCGGGGGAGCCAGAGGAAGGGCGACTGTGCCCACAGATGCAGCTGCCCAGCTACCCTGTGGTGCTTCAGGGTAACCCCACTCCACAGAGGCCCTGTCCACGGAGGCCACAGACGCAGGCGGGATGGGGGGCAGAGTGGCCTTCCGGAACTGCAGGACCCTCCCAGGGCTCAGGCACGGCTGCTCCACCAGGGTGGGGCTTCCTGTCTTCCAGGTGCAGAGCGAGCTCGTCCTCACCGGGAGGAAGAGGAAAGCCACAGACCCGGCGCCGTCCGACGCCGCCGTGAGAAACCTCAGGGACTTCCGGGGCAGTGCCAGGCACGTCCGCTGAGCCGCCAGGGTGCAGGGTGCCCACCGGGCAGACAGGAAGATGGGGCTGGACAGAGTCAAAGCCCCCAGCCTGCATGGCGTCTGACCCCGAGACGGGGGTGCTCTGGGTACCCGAGTCTCCCCGACAGCAAGGCCTCGTGGCAGATAGCACCTCACAGGGCACAGGGGGGCACGGCCTCGCCCTTCAACACCAATTCACTCGAGCGCAAGGGGGTCTGTCCAGCAGGGAAGAAGTGTCCGCCGGGCACCCACGCCAGGGAAAGGGTGTCGTACATACGGCAGGCCTGGCTGTGGCTCCCCAGCCACTGGGGTCCCAGCACCAGACAGCCTGGGACGGAGCTGTAGCTGTAGCTGGTGTAGAGGTACCACATCCCTCTTCCGTGAGGCCCCAGTAAGACCCCCCTGCCTCCCAGGGCCTCGAAGCCAGCCCAGAGCCCACAGCCCCTGAGGGTGGGAAGCTGCCGAGCCGCTGGACAGGCTGGTGTGACAAGACCAAGGGCCACTCGGCTCTGCAGGGGCCGTGCCCAGGAGCCTCACACTGCGTGCAGCAGGGCTGGCCTCCACGCGGTCCTACAGCCACTGCTCTGCTAAGCAAGGGCAGTGCCCACCCCACAGCAGGGCACAGCCCAGGCACGGAGCCACCCAGGTCATGCTTCCAAGGAGCAGGGGGAGGCAGGCGAGCAGATGTCTCCGAAAGTGAGGCTGGCCTGGCTCCTGCCGGGGGCTCAGCCCATGCCAAGGCCCTGCCAGGCTCAGTCCTCAGGCGGCAAGACCTGGCAGGGCAGATTCTGTGGGAACAAGGTTAGCTGGGCGCCGCTGCCCAAGAGGCCAGACCAGCTCTGTGGGGGCCTCTGGGGTCTCCACCTGGTCCGTGGCAGAGGAAAGAGACACGCAGGGGCAGCTGAGGACTCGGCTCCCAGAGTGTGGGGACCTGGGACTTAGCCAGCACAGCAGAACCGGGGCCATCAGCAGTGCACCAGACCCAACAGCAGGGCTCAGCCCGTCTGCCTAGGCGGGTGCCAGCTCTGCCCTGGGGACCTCAGGAGGCCACTTGCTCAGGTGAAACCATCTCCACGGCCACAGCGTGGCCCCCTCCACGCAAAGGCCCTCTTTGCCGGTGGGGTTAGGACTGGGGCTCCCTGCCTGCACCCTCCTGGCCAGACAGAGCTGGCCTGAGCCTCAGCAGCCAGGCTTCAAAGACCCCCAGGGTGACGTAGTGAGGTGACCCGGGAGTCCCGGGGGCACAGGCTCCATCAGCAGCAGTGGCGGTGACCCCAGAGTAGATGGCGCCTGTCTGCAATGTGGACACAGCGCTCTGGGCGCAGGGTGGCACTGGTGCTGAGGGGCAGCCTGGCCACCTGCAAAGAGGACCAGCTCTGCACCCTGCAGCCAGCGCATTTTCCACGGCCAGACTGTCCCCAGAGGAAACAGTCCCCGGACTGCTCTACCCGGGGCCAGGAATCCTGCCACTAGGGATGGACCAGGGACTGTGCCTGGTGAGGGCAACTCAGGGCCCTGCAGAATGCAGAAGGCAGGCAGGAGTGCGGCACGGCCAGGCCACCGCTCCTGAACGTCACAGCGAGGGCAGTGAGGAGGGAGACGCCTGGGGAGTAGAGCGAGGACCTGGAGTCGTGGGCCTACAAGATATGAGAGAGCCAAGGCCACCAGGAGGACACCAAGGGCCTTCCTGACTAACACATGCAAGTGGCCAGGCTGAGCTGAGTTCCGGCCGGTCCCTCAGAATCAAGTCACAGACCTGCCGCTTCCTTTCCAGCCCCCAAAGAGCAGAGAACAGTAAGAGACCACCACCCCAAAACCGGGGGCTCTATCTCCCACCCGGCAGCGCTGCTGCAGAGGCAGGAGAACCGCTGGAGCCTGAGAGCACCCTGCAGCCTGAAGGCACAGTGCCTGGCAGGAGACCTCTGGTACCCAGTGACCCAAAGCAGGCTGGGCCCAGTGGCCTCCCGTGGACACGGTGCCCAGCTCCATCCCAGGCCTGTGAGGTGGCTCGGAGGACACAGCAGTGCACACGGTCCCACCCAGCCAAGTGGCCAGGCAGGGGACGGTCACTGTGGTCCTAGTTTACCCTGGCGGCTACTGCTCAGCTGGGCGGGACTGAAGTCCTTTCCCTCTCGCTGTGAAACCGATACGGGGGTCATGGCCTTGAACCTCTCTGGACACGGGGCACAGGCTGGGCTTGGTCCTCACCACACCCCAATCAGAACAAAACACACAGGCGTCTGTGTGGCCTGAAGTGAACCTTCCCCGGGGCAGAGCCAGTCAGTCCCGCGAGCCTTCCCGCGCTTGCTGACACCCGGAAGCGGAGGTGAGCAGAGCCACGCCAGGCTGCCTGCGTATCATGGTCTCACTGCAGCCAGGGATGGCACCACTTTGGTGGCCCTCGAGCTACAGGAATCGCGGCTCCTGAGTTTGGAGATGACCCAGCCTGAGGACACATTTGTGGTGTGTAGGGCTGGCCACAAGGCGAAGCCACCGTACAGGCCACGCAAGATGACACCGGTGGGCGACTCCCAAGGTGAGGGCCTTGCCTTCGCACTGGAAGCTCCTTGAGAACTTATGTGGAGGGGAGAGAGGCAAACATGCCCAAGGGTGTGGTGTGCTGGAGCAGCAGCCCCAAGGAGGACCTGGGCCAGGAGTCAGGGAGAGGGCTCCATGTGCAGCGCAGCCCACACGGTGGCCGGCCTCAAGGTCAGTCTGTCTCCAGACTGTGGGCCTGCACCCCACCTATGCCTCCCGCCAGGTGGCCCGGCCCCCGCGGCCCACAGGCCTGGCGTCACAGCCAGGGTTCCCCTTCGTGCAGGCTGCTCCACAGGCCAGGGGCACAGTACCTCACCGCCCTTGAGTGAGAGAGGGGCAAGGACTGTTCTAGAAGGGGACACAGCAGTCCCCGTCCTCCCCTGGCCAGGGGGGCTGACAGGCCCAGGGGGAAGCAGAGGGCACCTCAGAGGCAGCCTCAGCCAGGAGCCAGCTCAGAGGGGCGCACTTCACAGTGTCCCCACCGCTCACGGGCAGAGCTCTACAGGCCCACGGCCCGCCTGCCCACAGCCTCCCCTTACTCTGAGCCAAGGGGTGGTGGCCTTCCAGGGGCTGTGGGACCCAAGCGCCGGGCCACCCGCACCTGCATTTCCTCACACAGCGCGTCCCACACAAAGGCAGTCACTTGCTAGGCCTGGGTGCAGGTGAAGGGTCCTGGTGGCTCTGGAGCCGGACACGGCCTGGGAAGCCCTGCAGCCCCAACACTGGCGTGTGCACCCTGCCCCGAGCACAGTGGCCCCATAGCCCGGGTCTGGGGGTGAGAGTCCTGCCACAGCCTGGCCACCCTCCGAGATGACAGCAGAGCACAGACAGACAGGAAACAGGGTTGCACCTAAATAAAACTTGCCATTCAAAATTGTGCCATTTTCATGAAACTTTTGTGCTTCAAAGGATACCATCAAGAAAGTGAAGAGAAAACCCACAGAGTGGGAGAGGGGGCGCAAATCCGATCACGGGAAAAGGGGCCAGCGTCAGAAGATGCGAAGCACATCTACACCTCACCACCAGAGCCACCCAGCAAAGCACGGAGGAAACCGACAGACACCACACTCGTGTCCTGCGGGCACACTCGGGGCCCAGCACAGCCAGGTCGCCAGCA